TAGCATCAGCAGCTCTGACTTTAATGGAACAGAACATAAAAACAGGTAAATAATATGGAAATATTAAAGCGAGACATGATTTCACCACAGATGAATTAAATATTGATTCTCCAACATCTTCAAGTATTCTTATTTTAAAGTATTTGAAACTCATTTTTTTTATTCTCTAGGGGTGTTTTAAAATACAATTTTAGGTTTTATTTTAAAGGGATATTTTTGTGCCTGATTTCAGTTTACTGACACACACAGAACAAGTGATTGACTCTTGCTGTCCAAAGAAGACAGGAAAGGACAACTGCTAGCCAAAGAACCACTGGTGGGAAGAGTTGCCCTAGATGCAAATCTTCTTCCCTCCAGTTTATACTCTGGGTTTATTCTGACTTATTACCTTGAACAGGCTCTCTAAGTGTATACCATACTCGCAGGCCTTCTGCTCCAGCAACTTGACTTCATCCACGAGCTCTCTCCAGAACTCCTCTCTCTTTTGCAGGATGGAAGGACTAACTCTCTTGGAAAATGCTTCCATGTGAGCCATGTGGGTCGTGAGGTCACGGAAAAAGTCCTGAAAAGAACAAGTTAAAGCTTTCTTTTGAAGAGAGATCACACTCTCACAGCAGACAGCAGGGAAGACTCACTGAGAAGCCAGTTTCAGGGCCTCTCACAGCTGAAGTCAGGAGCCTGCTGCCCAAATTCTGCATGACCCCAAGATGGGCAGTTACTGTTCATTTTACATTTGTCCCAAACCAGTTCTCATTTACATTTCTCAGGAACCAGTAGAAAATACCAACTTTTATACCTTCAGTTTGTATGAAATGAACTCATAGTTCAGCATGAGGCAGTTATCACCAGACAGTCACTATCCAGTTTGCTTCACCTGGATGCCAGCATACCCAAGCACCAAGGGTATCAACAGTTCTAAGGCCTAAGCAGTAGGCAGGACACGATAATCCTTCAGGATAACTATCAGGTAACAGTTTGACTTAGTTATGGTTCCATCGAGCTCTTGGGAAATGTCTGAATCTCAACAGAACACTTTCTGCCACAAAAAATAAAAGCTTTGATGGTTTAAGATCACACTCCTCAATCAAGATCTTCACTAAGAACTAATAACTAGTACAAGAATTTCACTTAAGGACCATAGCCCAAGCACAGGCTGTTCTGAGCATCCTGGTAAGTCCTGACAACCAGGGTAGGGAAAATGGCTTTTGTAATTTTCTTTTGCTTTGTTCATAAATTCTGCTATGCTAAGGGCAATTTGTGAGTGACTTTGGAGCAGTGGTTTGCACGGCTTAACATCCCAAAGCAATTCTTAAGGGAGTTTGAGCTACATGGTGCAGTTATATCAAGGCTTTAACACAACAGAGACACCTTCGAGGATGAGCACTGGCCAGGGCTTCTGGTCAAGGGCAGGACAGTGAAGATGCAGGTGCATTCTCAGCCATCTCCCACCAAGCACGCAGCAGCTGGGTGCAGGTGAGACTGGACAGCCAAGGGGAGGCTCTCAGCTACCCTCCAGTCAGAACAGGAGGTGCTATGGGTAGGTTCCACCAGATCATGACAGTACAGAATGCTTAAAGCAAAGGCTCAACTCCCAGTTGCTAGACAATTTCAGGAACTTCACTACTGATTTATTACCAGTACTTAGAAGGACACATGTTCTCCTTACACATCAATGTGTTCTCAGGTAAGCAAAAGTAGTTATTTATCACCAAAACTGCATTTGTAGTAACAACCTAAATAATTTCATATTTAGAAACTATATTTTCTATTTTAGTCTACTGAAAAAGTTTGCTTTGTTTTCTGCACATATTCCAGTCCCTCCCCTATGCTATGAGCTACTTATTCCTCTTTATAACACCAGAGAGAAACCAGTCACAGAAAACAGCACTCCTGCTGTGCTGATCTGAGCAGCACTGTGATAAGCATCTTATACCTTGTGGTTTTCCAGGTGAGACTGTAGAGCTGCTCTGCTTTTTGTTAGCTGCTTTGGATCTTGTGCAATTTTCTCTCTCCCAATAGCTACCAGCTCTGCAAACCCACGAAGTAAGTCCTCATATTGGCTTTCACTGATGGAAGGAGAGTTCAGCTCTGCATACTTTGCTTTCAGAATCCCCCACATGTCACCCAAAACATCCTACAATGTAAGCACAGTTGAGCCATTCATGAAGGACAGAAATGAATCCCACAAACCCACATACACATTCCCAGAATACAAAATAATCATCAGCATTTTCATGCTTCGAAGAATGAAACCCTTTTGAGTAAGTGGAAACTGTACTGTGCTCTTACCTCTAATTTATAAGCTTCCTGGATTAAGGTGATAGGTAACTGAAATCTTTCTCCGTGGCCTCTCAGTTTTGCTACTTGGTTCTCAAAGTTTAGCAGCTCCAAAGTGTAGGCATCGATTTTCTGAATGAAGGACAAAATAAGCTATTAGGAAGAGTTCCACTGCATTAAAATTTCCATTATCACTGGCAGTGCAGTGGATCCAGAGGCTGGATCTCTGCTGTGCTAGCACTTCAGAAGCTCCAATGAGCTCATAAACTAAATAGACAAGGCTGTTCAGGACAGTTTACTGGGTTCAGACAGCACAGACAGGAAAGGAATTAAGTTCTTGTATCTCAGAACGACATTCAACACACATCTCAGTTTGCTAACTCGAGAGCAGCCACTAAAAAGAATCATGGACTTGGAAAATACAATTTTTTCTTATGAATTACAAAGACTTAGGGATGAATTGAGACAGGTTCTCTTTGAAGGAAGGAAAGCTATGCACTTCTGGCATTCCTCTTCCCAGAGTGGTTACCTGGCAAAACACACCCAAGGCAGCAATTCCTGCTAGGGGAATCAGTGGGTCTGAACATAGTTCTCACTCTGGCAGAAAGTTATGCCTGTAAGCAAGGTTATGAGCCTGTAACAATAAAGTTTTGGGACATCCTCTTTGCTTCAGCAACAAGTAGGTAGATTGGGCAATGACCATTCTGGGGAGGATATGCAGTCTGTTAACTTTTAATTCTCTGATAATCCCTATAAAGATCAAAGAAAATAGCTTAACTGGTCAAATTCCATATGATGAAGTGCTCATAAATGCTGCACGAGTAGATATAAATACTGGAGTCCTATTTCCACAAAGAAAAGCTAGGTTTGCATATGAAAAGGCCAAATGTGTGAAGTGCTGTACACTGTGCAGCTCTTCTTCTTCCCTGCCACAGCTGGGGTGTATTTGCTCTGAGCGGTTGTGGAGAGACTGGTTCCTCCACTCCAGACACTAAAAGGACAGAAATTAGGTCTGACTACAGAGTGGGGTGTAGTGAAAAAGGGGGTGGCACATATGGCAAATACTGAACTCTCTCCTTTTCCCATTCTTAAAACCTGAGACTCTAATTTTTGAGAACATGAAACTTGAAAAAATAGCTAATGCCGTAAAAACTCTCCTCTCCTTTGAATGAAATTACCTGAAGCTGTTCACAAGCATCATGCCCACGTAGTTCATTCAAGCATTGTTGCAAGGCAGATTTTTTCTCAGTTAACTGATCATAGAGCAGTCTGGTTTGATTCTGCCAAAGAAACAAACATCAGAAATATATCATATAGCATGAATATAGTCATGACCAGACAAAATTACACAGCAAATAAAATGGCCACCTCTTACGGCAAAAGCAGGTTTTTCTTTTTTAAAAAAACCAACAAAATAAAGCATGTGCATTGTGGACTTATAGCAGTAATTTAGAGAGGGAAGTCCTGGAGTCTGTGCAGAGTAAGAAAGCAGATTACTCTGTCACAGTGATCCTCTATGACTGTAAAAATCTGTGAAACGTATAGAGAAACAAATTCTTCTTTTCTGAAAATGAGAAAACGAGCCCTTTACCGACTGATGGAATTCCATGGACTCTGCATAACTAAACACTGCAAGACTAGTTCTGCTGCTGTTTGGAGACAACATCCCAGTGCTCTTCAAAGAAACACCTTTATTATTCAGCAGTAAAGAGCCAGGCCAACTTGCAGATGATAAGCACGCTGGAGTTTTGCTGGACATTGCAAACTGCATTTCAAAGACTCTAAATACTCTGATCTGAATATTTTTCAGCCACACTTAGTAGATTTAGCCCATCACGAGAATCTATGGAAAAGTTTCTCATTATCTGCTTTCCTGACAAAGAACAAAAAAAGGCAAATTCGTAAAACTATTGATTTCTGCTGCTGTGGCACAAAATCTAGAGGAACAGTAAATACAATGGGGTCAAATCAACCTCCAGCCCAGTGCCAGGCACGGCATGACATAGAAAGAAGCCTGCCACTCCTGAGGCCATGTGGCAGCCAAAAAAATATATGGAACCCTCCTTGGCCCAATCCCTACATACAGAAACTTGCTTTAGCCTGTAGCTCAGCCTGCATGGGATCCCAGGCTGCTTCCATGCTTTCTGCATGCAAATTCTCCACTGGGATCCAGGCCTCTCTGCCATTCAGCACTGCAAACAGCACTGTAGCCAGTAAAATTCATTTGCTTCTCGATAGGCCAAGGCAAGTTTGTTTATTAGCCAAAAACCAAGCACATTATAGGCTGCTCATCTGTAACCCAAATGCATTAACTCTGACAAGTCTAACAGATGCTGTGAAACAAGATGTGCATTAGGCAGTGAGTACCAGATAATTGCTATTATGATCCAGCCCAGCTTTCACTGAGTTGCTCCTTGAAGCAGTGGCAGCTTGAGTTTGCTCCAGCCGTGCCTGCAAGTTGTCAAAGCACTCGCAAAACACATCTGTGCTCCCATCGGCGCAGCTAAGAGACTTTAGGAGATCATCCTTTTTGTCACTCAGATCAGCGTGAAGTTTTTGCAGCTCAACAGAAAGAGTCTAAAGGGTAGAAAGAAAAACATCAGGAGTGAAAATGGTCTCCGTCCGAGGGCTCTGCCTATAAAAGGCAGCAGGACTCAAGCTGATCATTGTTAAAAGCAATAGGCCCAAACCTGTGCAATACCAAATAGTTTGGTGGTGTTGTTCCTGAATAATGCTAGCAAAACAGAGAGGAGATATCAGGCTATATATATTCTGTTGTAGAGAAATCCACTTGGGTTTCTGTTTCCCTGATGATCTAGGATAGTTACCTCACAACGAGCCTGCTGCACAGCTGCCTCTTCAGTCGAGAGCACTGAGGTGTTCAACATCTCCTCCATGTTATTCAAATAGCGGCTGATTGCCAGAAGCAACTCAAACAATTTTCTGTCCAAATTGGAAGAGACTTCTTCTGCCACATTATCCTGGGTAAATGCAAACCAGAAGTTTTCAGTACTTTCACCCAAGGCATGGCTAAGATTCAGATTCACTCGTATAATGTTAGCGGTTCAATAAAATGGCATTAATGAAATACCCAGGGACAGACTCGGATGAGACAGTTATGTGCATGCAACACCCAAGAGCTGTCAAGGCCAGAGCTGAGACAAAGACTCTCTATGTATTGGGGTGTGGCTGTGGTCTTACAGATCTGTAATTTCAGGAATGGGCACAACAAATTTGTCTTGTCAGCTCCAATCCAGCAGATTTACTGAAATCATTCCATTAATGAAATACCCAGGGACAGACTCGGATGAGACAGTTATGTGCATGCAACACCCAAGAGCTGTCAAGGCCAGAGCTGAGACAAAGACTCTCTATGTATTGGGGTGTGGCTGTGGTCTTACAGATCTGTAATTTCAGGAATGGGCACAACAAATTTGTCTTGTCAGCTCCAATCCAGCAGATTTACTGAAATCATTCTCCTTGCTTTATGTAGTTTGAGGATTTTTACCCACAGCAGCAAATCTTTGGATTCAGGTAGCAGAAGTATCACAGCTGAAACTTGAAATGTATCCTCTCAAAATCCTAAGCTGATTTCTACACTGTTTCCCAGTGTCCAAACAGTGCCTTGTGTCTAGAATCCCTGGCATTTTTTTGCAATGCTAGGACATGCCACTTTTTACCTGAGCATGCACCACATTTGCTTCTTGACTTAGGTCTCCCAGCTGGACAGTGTAAGTTTTCAGTTCCTCCACAGTGGGGGTTCCTGCACCTGTGAACGTGCCCCGGGGCAGCATGTTCATCTTTGCTGTAATCTAACATTTGGAAAAAGAACACTGCAATTAGGTGAATAGCTCAAACGAAGACAGGGCTACAGACAATGAGACAACACTCCTCTCTAAAAGGACCAAAATGAAAGCTTCAGGGCATTAATACAAAGAACCTGGATAGCAGGGTTCTGTGTTTACTAGCAAAAAGGCTATGCCCTGATGAGAGATTGACTGAAAAAGGAGCCTATGGTTCCCAGCATTAAGGACTACAGCTGTAATTTGTGTTAAGGCAGCTCTTCTGCCCACTCCAGTGCAAGTCTTGCCCGAAAAAAAGCTGACAATCATTTATTTACATTGACTGATAATTCTTCCATGCAATGCAGTAATTTCAGAGAACAGGCAATTTGGTAATTCTAATTTAACATAAACAAAACTTCTAGTAACAGAAATTATAGCTTTGTCCAAGCATTAGAATCCTGCAGTCTGTTCAGAACACACACACAGTGTGCTCTTGCTGTAGTCCAAACTCTGCTTCTGATATGTGAGAATGAGAGAACAAAATGGTGAGTGGCAGAACAAAATTTATGCCAGAGATCTGCTTTAACCAAAATATTCTCTCCTGCAGGAACTGAGACTTAACCCACATCCAAGAAAATCACCTGGAAGCTTGCTGGCTAACTCTCTGAGTTCTCGTGAAAGAATTAAGCAGGTAATATCTAGTCTGAATGTTAACTATGAGGATTCATCTAGGTGCTCCCATGCTATGCTTAGTAGTCACTACTTCAGAGCCATTATTTACCTCAAAGTAAAACTGAAAGACAACCATGAAAACACTGCGCAGTAACAACCTCCTCTGGAGAACACTTGCACAGATCTCAGCTATCTGGTAAAGAGCTATGCTACAGAGATGCAGGAAGATACACTAATGGCTATCGTTACCACAACCAACTGCCCACAGAAAGTGTTCGACTGAGCTTAAACAGACCTGAGGTTCCACAAGCTGGCAGAGGGGAGATTTCATCTTTGAAGACAGCTCTTGTTGTAAATATTGCCATTTATTGCCCATTTGATCCTTAGGAGGAGCTAAGGTGGGATCAGCCTGCTTGCTCTTTGAATCAGATTCTCCATTGCTGTATTGGGAAAACATTGTTAGAATGGCAAACACCAAAGCAAAATAAGTTAAACTAAGTTGTAAGGCTTCTTGTGCCAGATTAAACAGTTTTTCTTGCTCCTGCTCAACACCAGAGTAAAACCAAGCACACGGATGATCTTTAAGTAAAAAGCTTTGATGTATTTCTTTGGACCAGAAGTTTGCTGGCAGCCTCCATCTCTGAAATGACAATGTGGGAAGCACAGTCCTGTGTAGAAGTCTTTGTTCCATGATGGAAGCTACACGATCCCAACGTCTCCTTTGCAAGGATGTTGCCTTTAAACCTGGCTGGGTATGTCCGCGCATTTGTACAGCAAGAGCTGCTGAACAGAGGTACCCAGCTTGCCTCCAGATGGGCCTGCCTTGGTTTACGGCAGGTGTCAGTCCTGCCTGATTGCAAGACTGACTCCAAGCACTGAAGTCAGCCCAGTATCAAGGAGGCTGTCACATAAATGAGCCTCCGTTTCTCTGGACTGCAGGTGGCAGAGATCCCCCAGCTGCTGCCATTTCCCTTCTAAAGGCACCCAGAACCAGTGCACAGGACCAGCGGTGCCACTGCAAAGTTTTGGCAGGTTTAGGCAGTTTTACATCACTAATCTGGTAACCGATTTTGTTATTTGTACCTCGGTTCTGATTTCGGAGTCATGCTGTCCTCAAGCTGTGGCTGCATTTTTTCCACACATGACTCAATGAAGTCAATGAGGCTTTTCTGCTCAGCTGCTTTTACTTTCAGATCCTGTGCACAGAGAATAGCATGAACATTTATGTGAACTGTATTAATCTGAAATGATGACTGTACTTTTCTAATCACATTTTATGTGAATACATTTAGCGAAGAAAATAACAATATATCTGTCAGAATAAAATACAGTTTATGTGCAAACATGAGTTTACAAAATAAACTTTTTTGTGCAAACATGTATTTTTATGGCATATATTTCTGCTTGAGCTAAGGTTTTAAAAGCAAAAACCATCAATCGAAAACAAATTATACACATATGGAAATTTAAAGGCCATTGACTGAAATCCTTACACAGAGAAAAAGGCAAGGAAAAATAGGCATTTGCTCAAATATTAGGTTGAGTTCCATTAGTTAAATGGAGAGCACTGAGTGAAAAGTGAGCAATTTTAGCAGCTCAGGCTTGATCATTTTCTCCAGCTCTTTTCTAATAGCATGAAAATGGGAAAAGCTAATTTTCAGAGAGTAAACCAGAAGTAGTTTGCAGAGCATAGAACATCACAGGATTTTTTTTTTGTATTAACAACAACCTTGAAGTCATCACAAGTTAGCCCAGGAAAAAACATATAGAAAGTTTTAGCTTCAGATTAATCTTCAAAGGCAATGTCAATATATAGATTCAGATTTCACCAACATCAGTGCTTCAAGGATGGGAGACTGGAGGGATGGGTGATGCCACCTGAATCATTACGAACGAAGCAAATGTCAGGGCACCACCCCATTCGTAGCATTACTGATCCTCTTTCTTGGACATGGGATTTGAGGGGTGAGGCCTTTCTCCATCCTGCCAAACTTCCCTAATCCTGGAGGAGAGGGTTGGCTGAATCTACCCTTGACAGCCTTGATCCCACAGTGCAAACTGCAGTAGCTGCAGCTGTAGATGCATCTGTGCCCCCCAGGGACGGGGCTGCAGGCCATCGTGCCAGCCGAGCGGCTGTTCTGCAAGGGGCAGCTGGGGCATGCTGAGACCATCTGAGTGGAGGGGCTCCAGGGGCTCTGGGTCGATCCTCTCCCTGCTGTGAACCTGTAAAGAGCGACCCATTGTGGCAAGGCTTCCAGGCCGGACAGGAAAGACTGCAGCTGCTCTGCGAGTGCAAACACATCAGGTGGGCTTCTCTGTCCCACTGCACAACAGATATGGAGTGAGTTCTGAAGCCAGGAGTTACTGTCTTAGCCACTGGGAAACTCAGCAGGCAATGAACAGCTGTGGTGCAGGAGAACTGGCAGAGTTGCTGCCTTTGCCATTTAAGCATTCATCAAAGAGAAAGTTACTGAAAGGCCTCTCTGCTGTGATACTGTCACAAACATCACAGCACTTTAAAGGCATTTAAAACCAATCCAAAACAAAAACTCAGTCCTTGTCCTGCACTCCTCACAGAATGCTGACCTCTATCACCGAGCACTTAAAGCAGAAAAGATGCTGTTCATAGACTCATTAAAAAGCTAGTACTTGCTGCAAACTGCAAGTAACTATACAACACTGTAAAGACGAACGACAGCAACTCTGACATTTCTGACTGAAATTCCTCCCTTCCTTGCTTCACATGGTGAGCTCCAACTGTTCTTCTGCAACTACAGACCACTGAAGCACCATGGTTCTCACTTCTGCTCTGCAGAGCATTCACATGCTTTACCTGCTCTTCATTGTATTTGTCTTGAAGCATTGTCTGCACATTTTCCAAATAGCGCTTCACTTCCTTCAGCTTCACGGACAGAGCCTCTGTCCTTTGGTGGTAGTCTGCACTATCTCCACAATCTTCCAGTAAAGAAAGGACTTTTTGTTCAATCTCTGATAACCGCACCTAGAATGGACAGCAGATAATCATTAATTCTTAGAAGTACAACACTCCTTTCCTGACAGCATTCTCAGTCAATGCTCACACTCCTCCTGTCTGAAAAGAATAGAAACATATAGGCAAGAAGAGAAATAGCTGCAACCCCCTAGATCTCCCCCAATATAGTATAGTTTTATTCTGAACAATTAAATAAATTTTATACAGCTAGTCTTAAAACTTTCAAACAAGACCATCTGCAGGAAGTTGTATTAACTCAGATATGAAGTAATAAAAGAGGAGAGCAGAAATGACAGACTCGATTTGACTAGGACCAAGACAACAACACGCCTCAATGGGGGAGCAAGAGGCAGTGCACAGCCTGCTCACATCACCCTTTGGGAGAAATGATACTCTATTCCCATGTGCCAGCCAGGCCACTGTAAACTGTTGGGATCTGTTTTGTGATTCAAGCTGCTGTGAATTAAAGTGCATTTCTGCATACTTTAAACTCATGTTTATAAGGAGAGCATGGAGACAGCTACCATGGCTCAACTGCAAAGTAATCAACTGTAATAAATTCCTTTACATCACACACCCATATCTAGAGAGTTTCTGCTTCACGCTATGTGTATTTTTCTGTGTAGATCTTGACTAGGTTAGAAAATCTTCTTACCCCTGCAAGTTCATGTCTTAACACTGAGCCAAACTGTTCAAAGCCAACAGGAACTGAGCAGCACTCACAGCTGCCTGAAGCCTTTCTTCTTCCAGTTGAAACTGCCTTGTTGAGGCCTATGCTGACATAAACCCTGAATGGGATTCCAACACAGACAGCTAACTTAGGTGGATTCAAGACCCTAACTCCCACAGAGTTCAGCACCTGAACACTTGGCTGAATTACAGCCTAAACCCGGAGTCACTTCTTGGCATAGACTCAGTTCCTACTAAAACTCAAAAACCACCACCCAAACCAACAACAAAATGGCTGGAAATGTCTCCTAGCAATTTAAAATGGGGACATTTGGTATTAGCTTCTTCATAGTGAGTGAAATTTGTTTCTCTAGGTAGGCCCAGTGCATGAAGCAAAACTGGCACACCAGCCTGGCACCACAGAGAGCTCAAGTGTGGCACACCTGCAGCCTTCGTTGTAGTCTGCACGTGCTGCGTGTCACTACTCCCACCCAGCCCCTTGTGCCAGTCCTGCCTTCCTCCTCCTGTTCTCACCACCAGGTACCACCAACTCCTTTTGCTCTGCTGCCCTGGGGAAATGGGCTGCCTTGGCAGTGGGGTGAAATATCGCCACTGCTCACTGAGGGCACTGTACCGATGCTGGCAGCTTTTTTGCAAAAAGTGCAAAAGTTGAATTTACCAGCCTGGAAGCTATCTTATACCAGTCCTTCACATCACTGACAGATATAGAAAGTGGAAAATGTCAAAAGAAAAATAAATTTCCTTTTCTTTCTAGCTGATTTATCATGATTAAGACCAATGAAAAAATGCCTTTTAATAGAGAATTTAAACTATACTGAGCCGTGTTTTTTAAAATAATCCAAAGAAAAACAAAGCTTTAAAAAAACTCCAGAATTCTCCCTAAATCCCCTGGATGCATACAATCCCAACTCTAAAAATCGGTATTTGAAGAAAGCCCTTAGAGAGCT